CATTTACAAAGACTTGCGTGACTTAGTCAATTCTTTTTGGGCATCTTAGGTAACATTTGCAAGAGTTCGGATGTACCTCCTGTAGCTGTCGGAAGACCACCGACAAAGTGTTTTTATAAGATAGCCCTCGAGGCGAGCCGATGCGCATTCCATACTTGTACTGATTCTGAATGAATGACCACTAAATAATTGTTGAAACATATCACAAATAGGATAAGGTGGTATATAAAGTATGATATGAAACGATCCTGTGATAAAGGCTGTACTCCTAGACCTTTTGTAATGTAATAGTGACTTTTTACTTTGGGGAAACGTTTCACCCAAATATAAATAAACAAAGCAACATGTAAGAAGCGTGTTTGACCCTAAACCCGAAGACATTCATATTCATAACTAATAACAAATCTAAGCTTGGAAAAGAATGAAAATGATCAAAAAGCAAGCTAAATGTACAATGTGAAAGACCACTCAGGTGTATCTTCATATTAAAAAAAACAGTTCAAATGAGGTCGTAAATAAGTTTAGCCAAGGAGAAACCGTTTTTCAAATTAAAACTGAAAAGTAAACTTTACAAAAAGGAGGAGGGAAATTAGCGCAACAGATTTTGGACAGTCATATGTTCGATTTTGGCTATTTTCTGAGGATTTAAACAATTGCATATGTTAGGCCAATGCATTGCCTCCAGGAAAATCACTTCTAGAGATGATAAAATAATTTCGACTTTGAGACAGGGTAGATGCAAACAACCCACCCACATGTTTTTTCTGAAATGTTTTCCTAATTTTCGACCCCTTCCATCCCTGCTTTTTTAATTTTTCTTGCATCAATATGTTGCATTTTGACACATAGTTAACCACTTTAAAGGAATAAGTGATTCCATCAGGGGTTTTAAAGATACCCATTATGGGTGACCAAACTTAGCTGAAAGCAATGATTTTTCCTATGGGAAAATAACATGGGAAATATTGTTTTCCACTTTATCTAAAAGGAATCATTTATTCCTTTTAAGGGATTAACTGTGTGTCAAAACTCAACATATTGATGCAAGAAAAATTAAAAAAGCAAGGATGGAAGGGGTTGAAAATCAGGAAAACATTTTAGAAAAAACATGTGGGTGGGTTGTTTGCATCTACCCTGTCTCAAAGTCGAAATTATTTCATCGTCTCTAGAAGTGATTTTCCTGGAGGTAATGCATTTGCCTAACATATGCACCTTTTTAAATCCCCAGGAAATGGCCAAAATCAAACATATGACTGTCCAAAATCGGTTGCGCTAACTCCCCTCCTCCTTTACGCAATGTGTCATCTTTATAAAGCACCACTCATGTACTTTTTATACCAAAGAAAATCTCAGTTTTCCTTGCCAAAACAATATAGATTTATGGGTTCGATATCTAAAGTTCGAAGGAGAAAGTCAAGATACTGCGGACCCTTCGGGATGCAATCGAGGTCTATGAATATTCAACTGAATCGAAGTGACATCTATAATAGATAGACGAATACATACACAAGGACTGGCGGCTGTGTCTAAGTATAGCTACGATTATGTAATCGTATACCCCCAAAAAATCCTTAGTGGTTTCGATGTTAACGTAGCAAATATAACCGATACGAACTAGATAAAAATATGTATAGTTAACTAATAAATAGTATACGATATGTCAATGCGTTTAGCATTTATCTACGATAAACGTCGTTCTCGTTCGTATACGATTTTATCGACATGTTTAGAAATCGTGTACATAATATCAAAATCGTATACACTAATCGTAGTAAATACCATGAAATCGTACGTAGGGGTTTTGAGACAGAAAGTAAACCATACCCCTGCATGGATTCGCCTTTTATACGTGAGCCGACACACTCGCAAACGCTGATTGGATAAAGATTGCGAGAATCTTTAACCTTCCACATTAGGTTACTCTGTATTATCATTCATCCAATACTCCTGACTGATTATACCTACCCTTGGATCTCTTGGATGTATTTGTGGTGTTCTGAAACGTGACTACTGTCCAATCAGTCAAGTCTCACTGTATATACACAATCTTGCTATATTTGCAATGTAACGTTTTGGAAGGTTTTATTGATTGCAACTAACTTACTGTTCAATCTACCAAGTTTTGCTGTGTACACTACCTTTTTATGTTTCTAACAGTCACACTGGTGGACTGAGATGCTTATGTTTGTACATTTTATATTATCTTCATTATTAGTTTTCAACAAAATAGATCCTGTCCAGTTTGATATTGTTGTAAAATGTGTACGTTTCAAATATCTATGGAACGTTAACCTTTGTTTATTTTTGTCTGTATTTCCTCTCTTGTATTTGTTAAACAAAACAAGTACTTAGATGCATAACTTGTTTCGTGTTTCTCCTTTCATCCAGTATCGCATTTTGAATTTAATTTTGATTTGATTGAGATCACAGTTGTTATGATTTATAAGTCCAAGCTTTTATACCTGGCTTTATATGTCAAATAACACCCCAGTCACATTTGTCGCACGGCGGCCGCAAGTGCCGCAGATCAATTAAATCGGTGAATTTCTGCGGCGAGCGTAGAAAAACTACGCTCGCCTTGCGGCCTCCGTACGGCGTGTCCAGTTTTGTACAGGCCGCAGGGTCGCCGTAGAAATTATATATAACTCGGAGTTATAATATTTGTTCATTTCTGAGGTCCCCGTAGAAATCAACTGGCTCAACAAGATTGAATCATTATTTGTCGATGTTTCACGATCACTTTTCATTTGATATTACATCCTAGCACTATGAATAACATTTAAATCTCGTAAACTATCGAAAAATAACGAAATTTATCGAATGTAGCATTCGGTATTGACCGAATATAAATAATTTAAATACCGAATGTACAAATAATTAATTGAATTATACGTGCGTAAAGGAAAACAAAATTGATTCGCTGCATCACACAAATACATGTATAAATATCAAATGTGAACGCCGACACAAAGAACATGTGCAACTATTTAGCGAATATAAATTGTATAGATGATTACATACGATAAATTGGGCAACGTTTGGTAAATTGTTTGTTTTATTTGGTATTTATGGAATATTTAATGTACCGAATAAAGAAGCAGATTAAATACCACGTTGGTTCACCGTGAAATGTAATTGTATTCATATGAATTGCTCTGTGATGTCATTTCCACCTTACAATTTTACTCTTTGAAGTCATCATATATTGTCTAATGAAAGCCTGTATCATACGATATCATTGTACTATGGACAAGTGTACATGCTAACATCGCTGTAATCAAAAGGTAACACTCCAATCGCCATCGCATACGTAATTTGAACATCTATGAACACATTTTCTTCTAAATAAGCCCATGAGCATTCTCGACCCCGGGCGACGTTTTGTGGATTGAAGTCATTTAACTAGGCGTAATTACATCTAAGCCTTTGCATCATATTTGCTTTAAGGCGGCCGTACATTGAGTGTATGTTTTACTGGAATGGCAACTGGAAAAAATGTTCGTAGTCAAATAATCTTAGTAATAGTCACCATTTAATAAATTCATGCTTTTGAAAACGTTTGTTAATTTGTACTATTGGGATGGGATCCCGATTAACAAAATGTCCGAAATATTTTTTTTTCGTATTTCAGTTAGTTTGTGCGAATGGCAGTTACGGTGAATTTATGATGCTACGTAAGAGCCATTTAATAGGTACACGGTCAGGAAATTTATTGATTTGCTTGTTCATTTTTACATTTTTTTGTTTTGTTTACAATCGCATGAGTTGGATGAGGCTGATCCGTATACTAACACCCCAGTCACATTTCCTGCGGCCGCCGTGCGGTCTATCATTTCTGCGGCCAGTTGCTTTTCTACGCTCGCCGCAGTATTTCTGCGCTCTCATACTTTTGCAGTCACATTTCCCACGGCAGCCGCACGGTGAATTTTAAATTTCTGTTGATAAATAATACTTTTTTCATTTTATTTACATTCATAAATGTTATTCATAGTGCTAGGATGTAATATCAAATGAAAAGTGATCGTGAAACATTGACAAATAATGATTCAATCTTGTTGAGCCAGTTGATTTCTACGGGGACCTCAGAAATGAACAAATATTATAACTCCGAGTTATAATTTCTACGCCTTCCCTGGGGCCTGTAAAAATCTGCACACGCCGCACGGAGGCCGCAAGGCGAGCGTAGTTTTTCTACGCTCGCCGCAGAAATTCAGTGATTTAATTGATCTGCGGTCGACTTGCGGCCGCCGTGCGACAAATGTGACTGGGGTGTTAGTCTATCAAAAGATTAATTAAATCAAATTATGTAAGAATCGGAATGAACGTGTCCCGTCCATATTTAATTTTTAATTACAAATATTTACTGCTTTGTACAACTAAAGTCTTTTGTTGCAATTATCTCAAAATATTCGTATACATTATGTAATCTACCAAATCATCAAAACTTTAACTCATTGACGTCATCGATTGCGCTCATTTGCATACAGTCAATCAGTGCAGCGGAAATCGATTTTCTTTACTTTGTGGAAAGGTGAATTAAAAATCTGTTTCAGGACTTAAATGGTATACTACAGCACCATCTTTGGATAGAATATTCTAATTTGCTGACGTATAATGCCCAGAATTACTGGAAAACATGTGATCACAACAGTGAATGGTAAAATAATTGGGACTATTTTATGCGGATGGATGACTTTGGTAGTGGTGATTTGATCAATGTACACAAATATGATGACGTTTTGGCACTCGAAATATGCTAGAGAGCAGAACTTTTGATTTTCGTCGGATATTTTTGTTGAAATCTTTTGACATGAAGGTGAGATGTTTTGCTGTATTCTCTGAAATTCTTTGAAAATCGATGGGCTGAGATTTTTAGGAATTATAATTTGAACTTTGTCAATTCAACATGCATCTCAATGGTACAAAAAGTCAGGAAAGTCCTACTTGCGAAAATTATATCACCGAGTAGTGCGTCATACCACTCCTTCAGATGGCGTTGAATGATATTGAATCATAGCAAAAGTAGATCAAAGATAAGAGCTGATAAGGTTTATAAACATCCGTAAGTTAGGTTAAATATGCGTTTATTTTAAGGTAAGAGCTTACATTATATTTTCCTTATAATACTTAATTATATAATTTGAAGTCCTGATGCGTATACAGTGATGTACATTAATATTGATTATAATGAGAATTTGATGAAGAAATACAACTTGTTAATACAACTAGTGCTTCAATGGTTTATACCGTAAGTATATCAGTGTGAGACGGAGTATTATCCCGGTGCAATGTGAAACGTTTTGCGGGCCTCTTGGTTTCTTCTTCTTTGCGCTCATCAAAATTTTTCTATGGGTATTGCTTTTTAATCATTGACCTGTGTCATAGACTTTCTATGGTCACATCAGTTTTCATTATATATTTGTCTTTTTGGTAACATCAAACATCAAATTTGCAAGAAAATATGTAACAATAGAAACAAAGTATTAAAACAATAAATGCTGGCATCCACGTTTATTTCTTTTCAGTTCGAAAAATATGTGCTTTTATTATTTTTTGTTCAAATTGGACGCATTGAAATTGCCCTGGGTACCCCTGACTCTAGTTGCCATGGTAACTATAATATTAACCAATCAGATGGCAGAAGTTATGTATTTATATGTTTTAATTTAGAAATGCACAAGGTATATTCTGAACAAATGTCAGTATGTTTGGACCAATATTTACAAAATACCAGATACTTTTACCTTATTTATTGATCACCCTGTATTAGGCCTAACTAGGGAGTGTCATAGTCGTTATGAATTTGCTCCTTATCCAGCTTCCTCAATGATTACACAAACTATAATCTGATTATATGTACACGTGTACAAATGTAGCTTAAATACAATGACTATTTACAATAGGGTTTCACAGAATTGCACCTAACATTTCTCTCAAATAAGATACTGTTATAACTGTAAGCAAAACTTTCACTCTCATTAACACTTTAACAATGCAAACATTCTATGTGGATGATTCACACAACAACAACAACAACAGACAACTTGTCCGCCATCCTTCAAATATTTTCTTCAAATTACATTTCTTACACTTTGCAACCTTATCATGAATATATGCTTTTACAGATGCCTTTTTATGTAGTTTTTCTAGTAACCATAAATCTTGTTATCCCATATCAGAAACGATTGTAAAATTGATTTTCGCACATCCTGCTCTAGACCTCATTAAAATCGATGCATTTTAATAAGACTATTATCGAAATAAAAAAGTAACGAGTTTTGGGCTCAAACTGTATATTTTTGGAGGTGTAATTTTGAATTGTTTTAATAATCTAGTTTGAAAAGTTTTTAACACATAATGCTTCCTGCTTCTCCCTCGAAACGAGATTCAATATCACGATCCAGGACCAGAACACCAAGGTATATTTCATTCATAGCGAAGTCAATACAATACATGTTGAAGAAAAATTGAACAATACTCATTACATCAAAAATAGTTGAAAATACTAGAACTCTTTAAAGATAAAGCATTCAGTCTAAAATGATGTGCGATTGATCAAATCGAATCTCGAAGTCCATAGGCAACTAAAATGGCCAATATTCATTCGCAAAGCCGTCCTCATTATCCATAAAACACAAACATTCGATTCACAATGGTCATCAGGTGAAAACTACGGCTGGGTTCGATCCATATTTCTCAACCACTTTCCTGCCAAATCTTGAATTAACTCGGGAATTATCCTGATGTTTTAGTGCTCATTCCGATTTTCACTCAAAACCCAGATTTTCGAAAACCAGGATTTTTAAGAAAACTATTCTGGATTTCTGTTAGAAACTCCCGTTTTATTGAGACTGGCCGATTTTTCATTGATTCCAATTTTAAACGATACCGATTTTTCGTTCACGGCTCCCGATTTCTTAATGAAACGCCTCGATTTATCATGGTAGCTCCCGAAATATCTGTCATTCATATCATCTGTTTTATATTCACCACTGGATGTGACGTGTATATTCCCAGGATGCAACATGTTCCATCATCCATAAATGTAAAGTTATAGTAAGAGCAATCCCGATTTTCTCCTGATTATTCTCCCTCTGGTTATTTTGTAAATCCCGATTTCCTCCCGCTTTTCTCCGAATTTGTTATTGGTATTGGTATTGGTATCAAAATTTTCTCTGATTCTTTATAGAAGTATCTTTGACTGTCTAGGTCAGAGCATGCATGATAGTGAAATTACGATTCGTGGCGTACATGACTTCATACTTCTTACGTTTCAAAATCTCTTTATTTTCAACTTAGCAAAATATCGTTTTTAACATATGAAATACATTATTACAGCACCACATGTTTACTTCAATTATTAGGTTATAAGCTTGTTTTTCCGCTTATGATTTGAGTAATTTGTACATTAAATTTTGCGTCTGCGTTAGCTGAATGCATTCACGTATACTAAATATATTAAATATTTTACTGTTACCGCAAATAAATTTTTTCTTTATGTAGAACACGTTACTTTTTACTAATGGTAGCACGCTATATTGAACCAAATGAACGAAATTGAATGCTTTGTTTTGGTTAATTACAGGTGTTCGGTAGAGGATTGAGGTGAAAATTTCAGCATGTTGAAAGTAGTCATATTATTAGCTTGTCTAGCAAAAACATATTCAAGTAAGTCGATATACATATTGTGCATTATATTACATGATTAATGTTACGCATGATGTATATGAAGAATCTATTTATGTGTAATTTAAAATGATCGATGATATCTTTAATTATGAGTAATTTGTTACATATGAAGTACAAGGGCCGATCAAAAAGTTTCTTACCGTTGGCTCTAGATTTTATAATAAGAGAAGTTGGATGCTCAAACTTTAACATGAGACAGAATAATTAGTTTGCTTGAAACTGTACGAGTTTCATATACATTGGTTAATTGGTAGTGACACAGAGTCAATACATATTTTCAATGACTAAGTTAGGTGGAGCAGCATTATATATAAAATATCTGCCCAGTTGTGGTTCTGTAAATTTACCGACATCGTTTGCAACCTCTCATACAAAGGTCCTAAACATGTGTTTTTGGATTGGGTGGACAATTATAGGAAGTGCATTGCAACTGGGAGTGAATATTTTGAAGGAGGGTGAATATTAGACATAACAACTACTTAAACATGATTACTACTACAGTCTGTTGACAGATGACATTACTTAGTGTTAGAAAAGTCCAAAACTGCTGCTTTGTACATTTTTTTTATAAAAAACGCTGCTCCACCTTACTTAATCATTGAAAATGTGTATTGAGTGTGTCACTACCAATGAACCAATTAATATGAAACTCCCACAGTTTCAAGCAGACTTATTACCCTGTCTCATGTAAAAGTTTGAGCATCCAACTCCTCTTATCATGAAATCTAGAGCCAACGGTAAGAAACTTTTTGATCGGCCCTTGTATATCCCAGAACAACATTGTTAGTTACAAGTATTAAGTACCATATAAGACGCAATGTTTGTTTTTACTTGATTCTAGACTAGGCCAAATTGGTTCTATAGGGAATGACCAAATTTCAAGCAAAGCATACAATTGACATACCAATATAGTACTCTGTACAATCTCAAATGAAATATCTTCGAAAAGATCTGCAATATATTATAAATCTCATATAACCTTTGCAATACCTAAGTTACCAACTTTTGTATTTTGGTATAAAAATCTTGCTCATGTTCAACATGTTTTCGTTTCAGATACCGTTCCACCACTTATTCTAGAACAACCACCTCAGGAAGTTGCTTTCAAAACAGATGAGCGTATAGAACTGAGGTGTATAGCCTCAGGGTCTCCCCAACCACAGTATGTATACACAGTGATCTTGCCTCGAAGCAAATAGTCGATGCACCCAGTCGACGAACTCCATCCTATCGAGATTCTGATATTTCCTTTATACACCCATTTAGAATATTTAGCATTTTTCTAATCACACCAAATTAGAGATTGATATTTTCTTAATTGCACCCAAATTCTTTAATTCACCATCAAAAGGTACAAGTGGCTATTGGACGATAACTATTTTGATGCTAGTGGTATTGATGGGCGTATTACCCAACAACCAGGTTCTGGAACTCTGATCTTCAATACGCCCATTGAGAAAGATGAGGGCACATACCAATGTATCGCAGAGAATCAATATGGGAAATCTCTAAGTCAGAAAATAGTTTTTAGAGTTGCAGGTACAAAACTAGTTTAAACTAATTTAAATGTCCAACAGATGTTTTAATGACTATATCAAATATGAGTTTTGCCTTCTCGGTTGTGAATCGCAAATAATTGTTCATTATAATAAATACTATAAGGGTCACATGATTCTCAAAGAATCGACCAAGGTGAATATGAAAAATACTAAAAATATCTCATGATATTAAGTGCAGTCAGTGGTTGAGATCTACCCTTACTATGGCTTACAGCTCAGTAGAGTAATACTCTTTCCTTCCGGGAGACACTTCCACTGTTCATTTTATCATCCGAATTGTTGTCAAAAAGTTTTCTTTGTGTTAAAGACTAAATCAAGTTCAGAGATACCATCTAACAGTGGAAAGGGCCAAACACTTGGAAATCCAGTCATCGCAATGAACAGAGAAACTATGTGTGCAGAATGAATGTTTTTAATTTCAGTACTAGAAAGGTTTCCCCAGCGGGATAACCCAATAGTATACAGGCCATATGTTGGAAGCCCCCTGACATTAAACTGTGTTCCCCCACGCAGTTATCCATCCTCGGAGGTATCCTGGTCCATAGTAGAGCCAGGAGACAGGCTTGAACCGCTCAATACCACATCAAGAATAACAATGGATCATTCAGGTATGTTAAGTGTCGCTTGGCGAATAGGGCCACTGCACCGCAGTTTGAAAATAGGGTTTGTCACGCCTGGAAAAAGAGAAAAAACAATCATGAAATATTAGCATATTTGACCAGGTTTGGTGAAAAATGTCACAGGTTTGTTTATGGTATTTGCTATTTTGGGAATGTTAATGATAGCACAATTGCAGTCAACGATAGAAACACTGTGCCAAATGAGTATCACTTTGTCTTCCAGGAAGGCTACACTTTGCCAATGTTCTTCAAAAGGATCGTCGGGATGGAAACAAATATGTCTGTACTGTGCACAATAAATTCATCGAAGCTTTTGTTCATGGAGAAGATGCCATCATTGAGCCAATGGGGGGTACAATACAATTCACTTATTTATTCATTTCTGGATTGTTTTGATCATTAACTGCGCGCCTTGCATCATTGCAGCATGCAACTTGGAATCTGTGGTTTTCAAACGTTTATATTTACTGTTTTCTCGTCCAATGCATTGACTCGGTAGTATTCCATTATATAGAGTAAAATATTAGTTAAAAATACAAACCTCTGAAAAATCTCAAAATCTCAAAATTGAACTTCAACAATATTTTAAAGCTATTTAGCGATTTATTGCAATTTTTGAATATGGTGACGAGTAATGTTTTTCACTTACTTCTTAGATACGATTCAATCACGAAGTGCAAGTCTTCGTTGGGCTTCTCCAACAGCTCAAGTGGCTCTCTTGGGGACAACCCATAGAGCGAAATGTATCTTTTCTGGGATGTAAGTTATGTAGCTAGCCAGGATACAAGATATCAGATTCCTGACGAATTACATGAAAACGATGTAGAAAATATAAGGAACGGACGGAGTATTATTTTAAATTAACATTTTAATCGACCTCATGAGTCGATCAGTAAAATGAGTTCTTCAATTGTTTAACCATTGAATGTACGTATACGTTAATTTATGATGTCCTCTTGTTTCAAACGTGTGAATGGCAATTATTATCTAATTTTAAGTGACAAAACATCGAGATTCAATCATGTTATACAAGGGAGATAAGAATAATGACAGAAATGTTCAGGATTTATAGTTAGCGTACGCGTACTTTATATGAAACCTGTTTACAACCTTGACTACAAATTCATACATTTGTCTTCTTTAATATCAAAATCAGTGTATAATATTCTACTAGTTACTAAATGTTACATATAACGTAATATGAATGCAAATTTTCAACTTAAGATTTGATTATTTTTTAGGCCTACCCCAAACACTACGTGGGATCGTCTGGAAGGCAAAGTAATGCCCCCAAGATCCAGATTGGACAGTTTTGGTCAAGAACTTGTCTTAGAAAATGTACAATATGATGATGCTGGGCAGTATGAGTGTTCTGGGGAAAATACTGATATTCCATTCAGAAAATCTTTCGAATTGGTTGTGGAAGGTACGAAAGTTATTCACTTGATTTTCATATAATTTTATATTTAAACGTTGTTTAATAGATTCCTTGAATGCAGGGAAACATATATAATACTCTGTTATGTAATGTACAAGGGACGATCCATATATTCTGATAAAAAATACAGCTCTAATTTTATATTTTTTTCACATATCCCTCTAGTTTTCAGAACATATAGATATAAAACAATCACACATACAATACTAAAATAGTATTACTACAACTTGAGTTAATTTAGAGATATTGTTGCCATGGTAACCTGCATTGAGGGTAGGCAGGTCAATTAAATCATAACCCATAAAATATGAAAATAACTTGTTGTTTTAGTCATTTTAAAGCATTTTTAAAAATCTGGTATTGTTGCTCAATGTTTGTTGCTAAACATGTTTAATTGTGCTCACTATAACATCACAACAGCTCATAATAGTAGTGTATGACAGAATGGCCCAATTGGCATTACATGACATGAGACACACCAAAAATCAAAATGTCAGATGAGGCTAGTGTAGCTGATGCAGTGTGAGATAAACAGAGACTATCAAGAAAAGTAAGAGGACACTATCAGAGACATACGCGGGCTCATAGAGTATATGGACAAGGTGTTACAGTATATCTGCTCCAAGAATCTCCAAGGTAGTATTGTAAATTTAAGGAAGGTATGGTCACTCGTTGAAGATTATCCACAATCTGGTTGCAAGAAGAGCTCACAGACAAAGAAGAACTCTAATAACTTGTGTTGCAATTTATGAAGAGAGAACTATCCAAACTGTGGAAATTAGCAAACAAGGGCAACATCGGTTTGGAACAGTTCAACCAAAAGTTGACAATGACCCAAATGTGCATTTGATGTGCTTAAAATAGGTACCGAGGAACGATTAAATAAACAAATGTATCTATTTCATGTGTCATGATTTAACTGACCTGCCTACCCTAAATACAGGTTACCATGCGTAATTACATACTGTACTAGTCTATATGTTCTGAAAAAAATGAGAGGAATATGTGAAAAAATCACAAAATTATAGCATTTTTATCATAATATATGGATCGCCCCTTGTACATGTAATACATGTGATGAAACCAAAACGTATTTTTATCAACTTGCAGGGAAAAACTTGATGAAGAGATTGAATGAAATATTTTCCAGCTAAACCATATTGGCGTAGTCCAGACACCAGACCTAAGAATATCCAAGCTATTGAGGGAGGACATGCCACATATGTGTGTATAGCTGATGGTATACCCACTCCACAGATATTCTGGTTCATCAATGGTAGACCTGTGTCGCGTAAGTGGATATTTTGCCTGAACATATTGTATAACTATACATTATTTCATCGAAATAAAGTTTATAACATCTTCCACATTATGGGCTATATAGGAAAATGATTGCCTTTATTGTTTAGCTTTAATTGATTATTTAAATTTTAGTGCTTGAAAACACTCAAAATTATTAGATAAAATTAGAATTTGTTTCAAGTTGAGAATCAATCTTGGGAAAAACACTGTGTTTTAAGGTTGCCAAGTTCATAATTGTGTCAAACTGAATTTCTTAACATTAATTTCATAAGCAGCATGCAGGCAATTGTATTTTGTGATTTGTGAATTTTCGCAACAGTTTCAATGTTGAAATTCTCATTTCAATTACATATTGTATGTATTCATATATTTTCAATATTATTTGGAATTCTGTTATTCAAATGTTTCATATTTATAATTTGACACATTAATCTGCTTAATTGTAGAATTGGAACCTGACCCCAATAGACTTGTTAATGGAGGTAACATGACTTTCATTAACTTGAAGAAGGATGACACACAAAATATCCAGTGTAATACTACTAACAAGCATGGCTATTTGTGGGCAGATTCATACCTAAATGTTCTGGCCATGCACTTAACATAGGCATGCACTTAAGGGCATAGGCATACACATGAACATGCACTTATAACATTTGAACAATGACCCGAATTCACAATAAATAACGCCATTCGTGCATTGATGATTATGTGTGATGTAATATGGAATCTATTATTAAAGCTTGACCCTTTAATGAATCGCAATATTTGGACATATACTTTTACATCTTCATCCAACTTACAAGATCATTAATGCTATATTACATGTATTTAGTTAACAGAAGTACACAATGTTTTTTTCTGCAAAAATGCACTTCCCGCTAAGCCGGTTGATCTTCATATCCACTATCAAATTTAACGCATCTATATTTTAAACCAACTGTAATGAACCTCGAAAACAAGTTCCAACTATAGTCTCAGCTGTATTGGCTAGGTCTTTATGGGTCAGGGCTTCAGCTTTGGAGTTTGGAGCAGACGATGCCCAGTTAGATTCCTGCACGAGACATCAACTTTACCACACTGATTGAATATTTATTCCACTATGTTTCTGTTTAAGAGTTATGTTTTTAACCATGCTTTGACTTTAGAATTTCAAATAGTACAGGGTGTCCGGAAAGTAAAGATACAAATACTCTTATTTTAAGAGATTTGGGGTTTTTAAAATGAAATTGCTACCGATTGTAGAGGAAGATTATTACAATATATCTACCAACTTTCATCACATGTAGTCTAAATGTGTTCAAGTTACAGTTGTTATGGTTACGGGTGTGAGAGGTATGCGGAGCAGTTCCAGAACATTGCTAAAATGCGAAAAATTGCTAAAATACAACCATTTAAAACAGTGTTTGTTGTTGTATTTTCTATCAGTGTTTTGCTTTGTTTAATATTGTATTATTGATGCCATAGTGTTTTTTATATAATGATGTCATTGTTACACATCAGAACTAGTTTATGTCACTAACCAGTATAATCAAAGAAATATTATATACAAGTACCTAGAAGAACTGTCCCTGGATTAGTAGGAAAGTCAATATTGTATCTCCATAATACACCAATTCACAAAGCAAAGAAAATAATTCTTACAATGGAGTGTCTTGACATTAAACCTTTCTATACAATGTCCTAAATTCACCTGATAAAGCCTCTTTTGACTTCTACCTTAATGACCATCTGAAAGCAATATTTGTAAGAAGTTTAACATACAAAATGAGACTCAGCTGGAAGCCAATGTTATCAGCAATCTGAGGGATGGACAGCAGCGGTTTTGTGAAGTTTATGAATCGCAGGCCAAGATTCACCAAGAATGTTAAGATAATAGGGAAAATTCTGAATATTCAATGAAAGTAGAAATATGAAGTGATCAAATAATGTAACAGTACTAATCCTTATGCTGTTGTGGTACATAATTTGATGTAATATATGGTGGAGTGCCAAGATCTGATGAGCAGGAAAGAGATTTGTAAAACACACTTGTGACGTTGCTCCACATACCCTCAACTCCCGTTACCATGACAACCATAACTTTTTTATTTTAAGACTAAAAGTCATGACAGTTGTAGGATATATTGTTATAATGTCATTCTACATTCTGGAGCAATTTCATCTCAAAACAGGTAAATCTCTTGAAACAAGAGCATTTGTATCTTTACTTTCCGGACACCCTCTATATATCATGTTAATTTATATAAATGTTACTTCGTAATAATTTCATTTTGTGACGGTATGCTATATGATTACAAAACAAATTGTATTAAAATAATCGACCAGGGTGTATCATTTCATTGCATATAACTAGATGTTCCATTCAAGGTCAATTATTAACGTTTTCGAAACATCATAATTTCTCATATTACATCATAGATTACTTTTATATTTGTCAGAAAAGTCCGTGTAGAAGGAACCTTGCCTGTTAATTATGACATCATTTTCTACGTTAAGATTTTGAAAATGGGCAATTTAAATGACTGAAAAATCTTTCTGACATTTTTATAACATTTCTATTTCTTTATGTTTGTTATATGGTGTTTGTAACATATACATCAGCTGTATAGTTTATACAATACGTAATATACATTTATTTCATACATACAGTAGCTAATTAGATAAAAATAAAAAACAGCACTTGCTTCATTCCTCTTATATTTTCATATACTTTTAGCACTTGGTAATTTTGAATGGTTGTATACATACATCTATGATTATCAACACTTATGGATTTGTATAAAAAACTTACTTCGCACCCACCTACCCTCACCCACGTACGTGGGACATGATACAGTCTTTGAAGGGTTCAATTTTAAAAATTATTAAGAAGATTATTAGAATTATTATTAGATTATTAGAAGTTATTTAATATTAGTTTATGTTGAATTATAGATGAATCAATGCACCCATATGTCTTTATTTATGGATCTGTCAACTGTCTAGCCATAGAATATAGCCGGCATTGCAAAGATGTTGAGGAATTCCGGGAGAGACAAGTGACAAAATATTGCTTCTTAGAAGAGATCAAATGACTTTGACATCTGCTTAAACCTACCTATTTGGCAATTTAACAATCAACGCAAGTATACATACCATATTTAAGCAGATAACGGACAAATTCATAAAAACATTTTTTGATTGGTAAAATTATCTATTATAAAACCGGAAGTGTGTTCTGTGACGTCCGTGTGTGGATATTTCAATTATTCATATTTTACCTTTGATTCGATTTTAAATGCTTCTAATTGATCTTTTAATGCTTACTATGAGTTCTATTATGTTTATTTCTGAATGTTTTGACCATGGCTTCCCCGCTTCATAAAAAGATCATTATCACCATTTACTCTGTAAGTAAGCAGAAACTGATAATGAATAATAATCTTTAAACACCCTTCAATGACTCTGTCAAGATCAACGTACGTGGGTACGAGGTTTTATACAAAGCTAGACTGCCCAATCAACAAAAATCATTTCGAAAAATCAAAAGCAGACATGAAATCAAAATATTAAAAAAAATATTAACATTTCTGCAATTCCGGCTTTATTTTGTGACTAGACAGATGACAGATCCATAAATAAAGGCATATGGGTGCATTAATTAATCATAAACTAAGACTAAGCGAGGCTTCCAAAAATTCTAGGGTACCATAGACCATAGACATTGACACAAAGTTGGTACAAAGCAAAATATCGGGAGTTTTATTTTTTTAAATGTCATGATAGCTTCAAGGTACATTCAATTTGTTCTTAAAAAGCGTATTTGTTTAGGCAAAATCAAGAAAAAGTCTCTACAGTTCTGAATAATTTGTATTTATCTGTCACTCTTAATTTCCCCTGATTGGTTGTTTGTTCATTCACTCTCTTCATAAACGCCTTATTGACCAAATATAATGTTATGGTTATGCCGCAATTTTATCTTTGGTTGATTTAACAGATGGGTCATCGGGTGCATTGATAGACGATATCTTATTATCAACATCACCTTTCATCTCCGAAGCAATTTCTCTGTACTCTGCAATAATACCAATTTAACATATTAAGTCCATTGTATAAAATATGCATGTTTGCCTCATGCCTTAAATATTTTTATGCATGCAAATTAATTAATAAGAGGGACGTCGATAAGATTCTAGATTTTAGACTGGGAAGTGATCTAGAGGGAACACCATACTATTTATAAGGATGAGATGAGGAAATGTGAGAATGGAAATGTTGTTAGATACACAGACACAGTGAACAACACGTGGCGTAGAGCAGAAACAATAGTCTTACCCATTTCGATGTCCCTGATGTCTTCAAACATAAGTGGGGAATTAATGAATTCCTTGCGAGACAAAAAGCCATCCCCTACAAGCGATCAATATTACTATGTCAGTTGTTTTTAAAAAACCTATGAATGGTCATACAAAATTACTTTTTCATAAACTTAATAAAGTCTTACTCTAGTTCAATGGGTATATTCCATCACTTGGCATGGTATCTCAGAAGTTACAATAACCGACATTATCAGGTTTCGCGACATTAACTTTTTTGCTTTCAATGTTTAAAATATGTTTACCATGCTTATGTTTTATTTCTTTACAATTTTTTTTAACCTACTAATGATTATATAAATTGCATTTTCATGGTTGTTATTTTTTCTTTGAAAACTGGAAAACACTGATCTATGTGTAGAACTAACCATCGGTGTCACAAAGGGGAAACGCAACGTTCTGTGTCTCGAATTCATCTATTCCCGCTGTGAGGGCCAGCTCTTGCGCGGAAATTTTGTCATCTTCGTTCATATCATACGCCTCGAAGAGTGCAGGCAATGGAATGAGGTGATCATCTTTCTCAAGAGTTTTCTTGAAGATAATACAACACTTATTGTAAACTAATTAATTATTTAATTTGCCTAGTAGTTTTACACTCGATTCATTTACCATTTTGATTAAAATCATTATTTGTGCCGATTCTGCAAATATTCTAAAATTATATAGATATGTCAAAATAAAAAAGATATGCTCGAGTAGCTAAGAACACATATGAAAAATACTTCTGTCTAAGTCAATGAAGCTCGTTATTTGATTTGATTTAATAGTTAAGTTGATAGTTGTACCTTCATTAACTCTCGTCGCTTTCGCTTTCCGCACACTTTTGTAGATCCCCAACTACAAGAAGTTATGGCAACGCGACATCCAATTGGACCAGTGACTGCGCACCCTGTAACTGTGCACACCTTCCCAACTACAAATCTAGAAGAATCTAGTTTTTTTAGAATTCATAAGATAGTCAACATCGCTTGGCTTAAATGAAATAAAGAAAGTTGGGGAGAACATTTAATCCCCAATACTTAAACTTACCAATTTTACATTATCTAGATACAAAGTAACTATGTAGGTATTTTCTAAATTTTATTGGCATCAACTTCCGACTATCATAACTTTCCCCTTAACATCCAATCACCTTGACCTTTTACGCTAAAAACTGCTATTAAATTGTAGCTCGAGCTAAAAAATAATAGAGACACAACAAAAAAACGTGGAGAATTGTCAATTTGATCTCCCTTTTTGCCTTTGAATATTTCTCGGGTAAACAACCATCTCAACATTTTGATTTGTTTCTTACCTGCACAAGTCTCTCCAAAACCATGCATCGCAGCTGTCCATCAACATAGCTGTAGACATCAGAGCGATCAAAAGTACCACTTGGAACTTCATCTTGGGTGAGTTGTGTCTCGAGCTTATTGAAAACATGATGGTTAAAAGGATAGGTATCGATATGGTGAACTGAATTCAACAATGTTTTTCTCTTAAACCAATTATTGAAAACATTCTGTAAAAAACACGGTCCTTTATGTAATGTTGACTGATTGGCAATTTAATCCAAACATTATTAAAATGTATTTTATTTACTGTTTTTGTTAAATATATTTTGTTTTAGTGCAATTGTTTTTGTTCCTTTCTACCACTTCTTGAGAATATAATAATATGTCTTTCCGAGCCTTGTTGGAACAATATAGCATATACAACATTTTCTTAGACCTCTCAATATTATAGTTATACAAAGGAAAGTTTGATTGATTTAACAAAAAGTACGCAAAAACGTAAAACAAAACCTCAAAAATAGATAAAAAATTCAGATTAACCTTTTATTTTACAAGATACTTTTTTAAATCAACCAAACTTTTCTTTGTACAATTAAAATATTGAGAGACCTAAACACGTTGTATTTATGTCGTTTTGTTCCACTGAGGTTCGGATAGATATTTCATTTTCTTCCGAACATATGATACACTCCCCTCCATAAGTTTGGCAACCTTTTCCCCCCATTGAACTACGTATTAAAGCCTCTTTACCTTTGAATTTTTATTTACTTAACCTGCGATTTAAATACTTACATGTATACTATTGATGGAAACGTAATTTGACTTTAATTCCAATACGTCAAAATTTTCTTAATTTTTTTCCTCAATTACAATAGGTCGAAAATTGATAATGAATTTGAGGAATTTTTGAAAATCGACATTCCCATGTAAAAACCAATGGGAAATGGTAGGTTTGCCGCAAGTCATATGACAGAATATCCATCCATCCGACTCCTTGCAAAAAATACGAGTTAGGCAGGTAATTGAATTTGCTAACTTTATTTAACAAAAAATTGATATGTTTCTTCAGGTTCAACAAAGTTATAGGGCTTTAAAGTCAAAATTGTTTTTCAAAAAACCTCTCCCATTGAAATAACACAGGAGGCGAAAAATTATTTTCAATCATGACTTTGAAGCGCTGTAACTTTAATATTCATCAAATAAACTAAACACTTAGTGTAAAAAAAGTTAGACAATTCAATTTTCTATATGAAAATATTTTTTGCTGATTCTTTTACTGAAAATATATCCTAATTTCTGATTTGCCCCGAACCCTCCATTTCCCATTGGTTTACATGGGAATGCCAATTTTCAAAAAGTCATCTTTATCATAAATTTTCGACCTATTGTAATTGAGGAAAAAAATTGAGAAAATTTGGAAGTATTGGAAATAAAGTCAAGTTACGTTTCCATCAATATTATAACTTATTTCATCGCCGGTTAAGTAAATAAAAATTCAAACATAAAGAGGCTTTAACACGTAGTTCAATGGGAAAAAAAGGTTGCCAAACTTATGGAGGGGAGTGTACCAAGAACGAAAGAAGTGTCTGATGTGTTTTCTTAAACAATATAAAGAAAAGTATATAATTATATGTAATTCAAATTATAATGTTACCATCCAAAATGTGGCCATTAAATTGACAATGTGTAAAATTTTCAGAATGTTTTGAAGGCTGATTTAAGAGAAACACGTGTTCAAAAACGTCACCACATCGATACCACTCCTTTGAGTAAACTACTCACATTTGCTTAGTAATCTACGCCATTTATAATACAATTCCGATACCCACACGTGGTTCGCTAGATGTATGTTTCAAAAACAAGTATAATAGCCTGGTGTACTCATCAGCAGCCACTTTAAAAGTGTCATTTTTTTATTATTTTAGGAAATAAAGGATCCAGTGCACTCTCCATTATGATTTCCCCATGAACAGAATGAATCGTTTTCAGGTGTAACATGAAGAATACAATGTCACATAATACTTGGAAAATATTGAAGCGTTTGGACACACATGGACTAAGGTTGGGGTCATTAGGTTCAGCAAGGGTGTATTGACTTGACATTGGATGTGATCCATTGACTTAACATGTTGATTTTATCAGATTCCAATGGAGGCCATTGGTTTCTATTGATTTTTACAAAAATAGCTAAAATACACTATGACCTGAATCGATTGCAAATTAAATAATTTCACAATATGACATAAATGGTATATCACATCAGATGTGCAAATATGAAGTTTGCAATCGATTCAGGTCATACTTCAAATTAAAATATTTAACTTTTTTTCATCATTTTTTCCTACAAAAAAATGCTCCAGAGGCAACTTTTACACTTATGAATTGCCATACAACTTTGTGAATCCAAATATTATACTGTTATGTTTCATTAATTAATAACATATTTGGATAAGAGGTAGGGATGTGTATGATGCAAATGGATTTTGACAGACACAAAAGACTTCCTGGTTTGGCATCTCTACACACGTACGATTGAAAATTGGCCCTAATAAGGGACCCATTCATCAATACAGTGCTGAATATAGGTCAACAAGATACTAGTGTACATATAAATGTAATAATAAAAGCAGTATATTCATTTTTAGAAATCAGATGAATTACTTTTTGTTCATGGGGAAATTATAATGGAGAGCGCACTAGATCCTTTGGATCAGTGAAACATCTCCTACTATCAAAGGCCGAAAAGAAATCTATCACAAAGAGAATTTAAACAGCATGAAAGGTTTGGAGCTATATGGGCGCGTGCATCATTTACGCTACTTACTAATTCGAATTCTAACACAATAGTCAGCGACCCATGCCCCTCTATCAATTACCCAACCTCTGTGTCTCTGTTAAATTATGTCATCCATAGTTTTTGGAAAGGTTACACTCCGAGGCTCAATTTTCTGAATGCAATGTTTGGGAGCTGGGTATCGGCGCGTGCATTGTTTACGCTACATACAAATTCGAATTCAAACACAATGGCCGGATATATATTTTTAATTGGATACACTTATAATTTATTGATTATTATATGATTTGTTATTATGCGTGAGTTTCATAATACTCTATCCGGTAGAATAAGAGAAATGGTAAAAAATAATGTTAAAGGCAAATCTCCATATATCTACAAATTATTAACAAGTTCTAAACATTTCGATACGTTTTCGGCAACTATAAGACTTACATTACCTTGTACTTGTGTTACACTGGACAACATACAGAACACGTCCGGCCAATCCAAGTGCTTCTCGTAAGTTACCAATTTAAGTAATTATAATGTATTTTATAGGACTTGACCAAGAAGTTATTTTGATTGGGTTGGGCTGAGTTAGACTTGACCTCTTTTTTGTTTTGGTGGTTATATTGAGGAATTTCAAGTAAGCAATAAAACTAATTGGTCCTATATATTGTAAGGAGTTAATCATACAGGGTGTTCATAAATTCTTAAGTCACATTCGCCACGGCGGCCATACACTGTAATTACAGTCAATAGCAACTACAAGGCCACCGTTTCATTTCCATATTTTCGCATATTAGGGGGCTGTCATGCGTGGTTTTAATTGATGAGCTGCTGTAGTGACGGTAGCTAAAGGGTCGGTGTTTCATGTAGCCACGCCTTTGCACAATACTAGTCGCACGGTCGCCATAAGTCTGTGTACGGTATCCTTTTTACCATTTGCGTCTCCCATAGTATTTTTCAAAAACCTACAGGTGCCTCAGGGATGCGTAATCCTTAAGGCGACCCAGTAGGTTTTCCGTTTCTACAAATTCAAAATACTTTGAAATATCTTGATTGGTGGTTATTATTGCTGAGTCAAAAGCTAATGCCTGGGTCACATTTGCTGCAATCCATCGGCTGGCGCCCGGCCCGGATTGAGTATTTTGTTCAAAATTAAGTACATGTCTGAACAAAATACTCAATCGGCTGGGCGCCGTAGTGAAAATCGGAGCAAATGTGACCAAGGTATTAGTTGAGATCAAAATTATGAGAGACTCCGTGCTATAATAGAGCACTTGACAGATTTATCCAATTAGTGGTTAATATCATCTGAAATGTTTCCCTTATGGCACTTAAATGTGTTAAGAAAAACATTTAATGATACTAATGATTTATTGAAATGTCGATTTGAACTATAAACCTAAATGGAATTTATATGATTCTTAGTAGAAAACACTCAAAAATACGACATAGTACTTTTAAAATGATTAATAACTTAAGATAAAATCCAATAAAATATAAAAATCAGGAACAATAAAATACATTTATGAAGCTGTAGTGTTCTGGGTACTTGCGCTCTTTGATAGGCAAAAGTTAAGAGAAGCACAACTAAGTAGGTTTGTTGTTGGCTATATAATATGATGACGTAATTCTATTATAAATTACATAATGTTACATAACAATACTTTTGCCGATAGGACTTATTTCCTTATGCAGATCACATACTGAATTGTAGTTCATCTATCCAGAATAATAAAATGGCAATGTTAAAATATGGCTGGACGAACGTCTCTCATGGACTATGGGCATATTTGAATAATAAATAAAAAATGTATCCATATATACATGTATGTATATTTTGCAACATTTATAAACTGTCTTGCCGAAATCTTTACCATTGGATTACAGTGCGAAATGGGATAGACCTTGCACAATGATTTAGAGCATACGTTTGACTTGTGTATTACTGCAATGTTTTCGTAATGGTTGATTTTTGGTATATATTTTCTATACGAAACGATTTAAATTGTTCGCACTTCTTACCTTGATAATATAGTCCGGAGTAGCGATTCTAACAGTTATCATTGGTGATTAGGTTCCCTGTATATATAAAAGGCCTTTTTACTTTTCTGGCCCAGCTCAGCTCCATCTAGTGTTTGATAAATGAATCGAGGTTTATTGTCGAAAGGGCAAGTTCTAATATATCAGGAACAGTTCTCTAGTTTAGTTACAAACAGCATTTCTAGATCTAGGGATGGTGGAGTGATTTTTGAGACTCGGGAGCACATTAATTTAAAATAGGTAGCAGTAAGTGGTAGCTCTCAAGAGTCATTTGCCCGAAAAACTTCTTGGTCACGGTATCATTATTTTGTAATGGCAAACCAAATAAAACGCTAATGAACAATGGAAATTTGTTTTATTAAGCTAGTGCTGTGTCCGTTACAAGCTCAGAAATGAAAAGTCATAATGGCCCTCTGTTGATTTTTTACTCTAAACGCGACCCCTTACAGTTACAGTTTGTCAAATGAATAAACACAAGGAGCTCACGCATCTCGATTTCACTGCCTCATGGTTATGACGTCATCGCCCAGCTGAGTTCGTTCTGGCGCTCTAGACCGTTCGGCCAACTCGGCAACCCCCCCCCCACCCCCCGCCCACCAAAAAGTGGACAACGGCCAGCTGGAAACAACAAATGCAAACCAAAGAGATGCCAAGATACGACGTGTCTTTATGGGATCACCTTGCTTGTATAGGTCGTTTCAAGACTGAGGTCTACTTCTGACAAACAGCAATTTATCATGTATTGTGTAGGCAATATCACACATGTTTTAGTGATCTTACTTTGGATTAATTTTCCAACGACATATTACACTCATTTGACAACCTATAAAATACTGAGTTCAAATAATTAATAACTTTAGCCTTTAATAGTTCCTCAATATGACCAAAGCTTGTAAAATTGGACGAATGATGGTTTTAACACAAAAACATGGTTTTATTATTGTTGTATTACTACTTTCCCGGGCTTAAAGTTAGTTTAATAAGTAATTTAGGATCACTGGCTCTATGCACCTATACTTGTTGAATATAATATGAATAGGAAGAGTGATTCTTTTTAGGAATCACTAACCCGAATAAAAGAAGTCACTAGCGTCACATTGCCGTTTTGCAATGAATAAGAATGCGTCATTAAACATTTAGCATTATTTGATAAAAGAGATATGATTTGAATCATAGAAGTCACTTGCGTCACATTGCCGTTTTGCAATGAATAAGAATGCGTCATTAAACATTTAACATTATTTGTTAAAAGAGATATGGTTTGAAAACGTTTAAAATGTATCGTAAATTGTGTTTTCCAAAATTGCTTTACAACAAAATGTGACGTCTAAGCCTTTTTGTAATTCCTGAACACATTTAAATTTTTATGAATTTCAGACAAACAATGGAAATGTTAAAATTGATTGGCTAAAACTGATTATTATTCAAGTTAAAATGGATAGTTTTCTAGATATACCATGGAAACTGACCCGAATGAGCCATATTGTGGAGAAACTGGTAACTACCTACTGCCATCGGATACAACGATTCAGACTATCTATACTCATACAAAAAGACTTTAGAATTAACAAACATGTCAATTTTGGGACCATTGCTCATTTCTATTAGCAGCAATACGGAGCATATTCTAGTTTTTGTGGTTATATTTCTTTTAACACTTTGGATTTCGCAACCAAGGAGACCCTGGATTCTTCCAAATGGGCCTTTTGCGTGGCCGATCATTGGGAATCTTATCAGGATGATGCCCATTGAAGGAGATAATAGTGGAGCAAAGCGTCTATTAGCAATTTCAAAGAAATATGGATCTAACATTATCAGCTTCAAAATTGGTTCAAAACAAGCTATCGTTCTTAACAAGTTTGTGGATCTGAAAGAGGCATATTGTAAAGATGAATTTGCATTCGGGAATCCAGAAGGACCCTTTCGTATTCTGTTTCCCGGTATAGCTGGAAGTGATGGAGCACAATCGAAAGAGCAAAGACGATTCGCCGTCTCGACATTGCGGGATTTCGGCCTCGGCAAGAACAGATCACAGGAAATTATCCAAGAAGAATTGCAGAGAGTGATAGAAAAAATGACTGAAAGCAGAGGACGACCATTTAATCCCCGTTCTTTGATTTGCTGCATGGTTTCAAATATCATGTGTTCTTTAATCTTTGGACGTCGTTTTGACTACGATGACAAAACATTCAAACGCGTTCTTTTCTGTGCAGATGAAATCGTGAATGAGGCTCTTAGATATATGACTTTGGGTTACCTGCTCCCACCATGGATCAGAGATAATCTTCCCGGTGACATCTTCAGAATTAAGTATGGGAAGTCTCTACACGCCGAGTTGAGAGATTTTCTTTTGAGAATATACAGAGAGCACGTTGCTATGCACAACGATGGTGAGAGCCGGGACTACATGGATGCGTTCATAAAGGAAATGAAAGATCGCAAGCTAATCGACAATAAACATTGGTTCACAGGTGAGTCAGGAAACCAAAATACCTTTTTGAGGAAATCGCTTGTTTAGTCCTCTGGAAATGTGGCTGAAAACAAGACAGAATCATTTTAATGTTTTTAGACAATGTCCCAAAAATAAGGATTTAATGAAAAAGAAAACAATAAACAAAACTAATCGGAAGAGATATTTTTTCTTTTTACGACTTGGGCTCATTTTCTAAAAATCCAAAAAAGTCTATCTTGTGACCTTTCTGAAAGTAAATAGTTTCAATCATAATATGTTATCCCCGCGTTCCATGCATTTTCAGATGATGGTCAATACAACCCCTTACTAAATTGCATGCAGTTTTAGATAATGGTCAATACACCTTAAACTTCGGCCACCGCAGGCATTTTTTAATTTTGGCAATACACCCCTAACTGCATTGCATACATTTTAGATTATGGGCAATACATCCCTTACTGCAGCCATCGCATGTATATTTTGATTATTGGCAATACACACCCTAACTGTTTGCATGCCCGCCATGCAATATAATGATACCGGGATTAGATCCATGAATTATGATTTCATTTAACAGCATACTCGAAATTGGAGTAAAATGGTACTTTAGTACTTACAATATTAAAAAGGATGGTATTCATGTTCCTGGAATGAGTCAAAAAGCAGACACATAAATCATGTAATGTGGACACGTTTTCCCAATAATAAGTACAGCTCCTGTTGCACTGGAGGATCGAGAGGGGATGAGCCTCAAAAAATGGGCCCTTTCGGGCATAACTTGACCTTTTATAAATGTGGGTCCAATTCTTGGATTTAGGGGCCCAAGATTTTTTAACACAAACGCAGAAATTTCCTTCCAATCTTGAAATGTGCCCCTCCCCCCCCCCCCCCCTTGTAAACTTCTAGAACCGCCATTGATATTTGTGTCGTGAGTGCCAATTTTAGGCAGATATAGGATAACGCGTACGCATATGTGTATTTTTATTAAACTAATTTGATTTTGTGTATTATGTCACCACCAGAAGTTATTTACATATTGTTATAGTCTCTAACTCCTTTGTGGACAATGTTTGCCGATCGGCGATCGATCGGCGTTTCGCGGTTGGCATATCTGTAACAAAAGACAGGTAGTGGCATATTGAGCTTTATTGGCCTCAGAAAGAGTTGCCTCGATTAATTTGATTTATTTTACTAGGGTTTATTGCTACCTCCAAGAACATTGGTCATTGGCAACATTTATGGAGCCCTGAATGACGCAGATTACTGGACTGATTCAGAATCCTTCAACCCTCTTAGGTTTATTGGAAAATATGGAAAAGTGATAAAACATGATCACATGATACCATTTTCAATAGGTAAATGCTTTGGTTTGTTAAGTTTCAAAAATGATTATTTCTCATATTGTTTCGCTTTTACAGATTCTATTTCAAACTGAATCTGAATACGGTGGACCTATTCATTAGAAAACAAATTATCGAGTATAATATTATGATTTGTACGATATATTTGAATAATTAATAATCAGGATTTTGTTTAAGGTAAACGTAAATGTCCTGGCGAATCATTGGCAAGAATGGAGGTTTTCTTGATCTTTGCTGGCATCATGCAGAAGTTCAGAATTGAGATACCACCAGGAGGAGAAGCTGCATTGAAGATTGAATTTGGCAACGGGCTTGATGCCCCTGTGGAATCTGATCTTTGTTTCATTAGAGATTAAATGCTCACATTTGAGTTGACTATTATATTCGAATTGACTGATATATTTGAGTTATCGATATATTTGAATTCCAATATATAAGCGTTGTCTTATAGTAGGTCGTTGCCATAGGGTATATTCTTAGGGAAATATAGATATCTCATCGAGTTATGCGTAGCGTATCGTGTTCTTAATCTCTCTAGATCTGACGAAAGATACAATCCAATAACGCTGATGCGAGTAGGTGGTTACTAGTTTCACCACCAGGTGGCTCATTCGGGTCAGAAAGCACAGCAGGTATAGTATAAAGTCCCATAAGATTTAAATTACATCTGTTTTAATGGTTAAATTTTCATATAACCCTTATAGACGATTAGGGATTTGCAAAAAATAAAATAAAAAAGGATCGACTGACCCTGTTGGGTTTCTTGGTATTTTTGGAAAGCTGTGCATCTCCAGTACATATTCTACTTAATGAGAAGTTCTGATAGTTTATCAAATCAAAATATGTCCAGTAAAAGAAAATGTTATCTGTCCAATACAAGAAAAGATATTTCACGTTTTGTGATTTGTAACATTGGGTATTTTGGGAATCAACCCGAACTAGAATTTTGAATATTTAATATCCATAAATCAAGATTACTTCTACTCGCATCTAGTCTATTCACCAAACGTGTCTTTAAGGCTATAGACGGTAGAGCATCGTGCCCTTGGTATCGGATGCATCTCAATCCAATTACTCAGATGCGAGTAGGTAGTTACCAGTTTCGCTACCAGGTGGCGGATTCGGGGGAAATAACATGACAGGGTATTACAAAATTCCCTTTAACTTGAATATTCATCCGTTTTAGTGGTTCACTCTTCATATTACCCATCTGATAGATATACAATTTAAAATATGCCCCGTAAAAGAAAATGGAAGTTACACGTATATTCCAAATATGACATCAGTTTGACTGAATTTTAAATTGTAATGACGTAAATATGCAAAAAGGTGGATTCAGGTATCCTTATATATTGCCTCACATATTTCCTCTCAGGTACATGTAGAACAAATGCCTCACAACACTTGAATCTAAAAATGACGGTTATGTCTTTAATTTACGATAAAAGTCAGCTCACCCCAAAATTGACCCTAAAGAATGCCATATATGTTTTATGTTGACAATGTAATATTTTACATCCATGTCCTTAAAACTCATTGGTTATAATACCAAAACGTCACGTCCATGTACAATAAATACTATAATTATGTATGATGAAGCAAACTTAATTTTTAAATACAGCAGATTTAATTCTGTTTTTGAATAAACGTCTAAAATAGTGCATCCACATAAAAGAGTCGACTACTGATTGTTTTTCATATATTTATATATAATCTGCACGAGGGTTGTTCCTGAAGTAATGTATATGAAATAACTCAAATTTCCTGAATATGCTGCAATATTGCAAAAAATGTCCATTTATCAATTGATGCTGTACATGTATCGATTATGTCCCGACATTTAAGAATCATTCAATAATGTTAAGTTGTAGAACGGTTGCTATACCAACGCGGGTGATGGATGGACAGAGCAGGCAAATATATAGACTGTCTGATTTTAAGTTTCTCAGCCTACTCACATTTCTAATCTAGATCTAAAAATAATCTAGGAATCATCTAATATAAGCGAGAGTGTCGTACCTAAACAGGACACTTTGAAACGCGTGTGCCTTGAATACTTAACAAGTATCATGATTCTGTGTACCCTGAATCAGCCCTTTGTATATTATTTCTCCTCTCTTTAGTTTTAGTTACTGTCACGGTAGCATGGGGTATGTATCCTCCCTCGTTATGCGCTTTGGCTTTGGGACTTTTATCTCCATTGTTTGATTGGACACAATGATGAGGAATGTAGTGGGTCGCTTCTTGAGAGGTTGCACTATAGGCTTGGGAATTGTCAATGGAATTGTTTTGAATGTTTACTGGTATACTACGTGAACCGTTTTCTTTGGAATTTGATTGTGCTGGTTCCTTTTCCATGGATGCATTCTCGGGAATGGACGGTTCTTGGAGGTTGTTTGAACCTGACACAACATCTGTCTGGATTTTGTTGTTAGCATTATCTTCGCTGTATACCACATAAGAAGGGTCACTTTTAGAGTCAGTTGATCCATCGTTACTTGTGTTAGAATTTCTGTTGTTACCAGCTTCTTTACTAAATGGTTGTTCGGGCCCTTGAATGGATATCATATTTGGAACTGTACGAGTGTCTGAGGTTGAATCTACAACATTTTGTACTTGTGAAATGGCGTCTGCATGGGTGACATAGTTATCTGTTTGAAATGTTTCAACAATTGGTCTGTTCGATCCCATCACCCTCAATGGCGTCGATGGGTCTGTCAAAACTCTACTCGCCGATGCTTCGCGCGCAAACGGCTCTTCTACGGAATCATGCTGTGTACCTTCCACTGGAGGACTGTCATTATTCATATTTGCAATTACACAGTACTCCTCGGATATCGGAATAAATTGTATTCCTGGTGATGTGACATTTTCTTGATTTCCAATGGGTTCTTCAGTGCCATTATTGCTTTCTTGTTCTTCTACATTTACCAATGGAGAGTTGTTATCATTCGCATTTGTAATAGCATAGTAATCACCAGGCGTATGCACAATTTGCGCTTCGAGTGGTACAACGTTTGTTTCCCTTTCTGTAGGTTCTCTGAATTGGTCGTTGGTGTTTATCCCTTGTGTATTTGTCAAAGGATGGTTTATGATTGGATGGTTATCAATACTCTTCGCTTCGAGTTGTCCAACGTTTATTTCATTTTCTATAGGTCTTCTAGGAATATCGTAGTTGTTTGTCCCGTGTGTATTTTCCAATGGAAGGTTTATGATTGTATGATTATCATTGGGAATCAGACCAATTTGCCCTATCAATGCTCTTTCACCAGCCTCCACTTTGCCTTCAGCTGCTTGCGGGAAATCAGCAGGTGAGACGTCTCTCGTCGTATTCGCTTTACTTAAGGGACTGATAGTTCTCTCAGGTAATTGACCGCTGGGGCAGTCTTCCCTTCTATCATGCGTCACATAACCACCAGTGACATATTGAATACCTGATTCGGCGTCCAGCCCATCCATTGATCTAATTGGACTACGCATGCGCAGTCCATTGGTACCCGTGCTTCCTCTTTCTGATGGGATACTGATATTACCATCGATATTCGAATCACCATGTGATATTGAACCCTAAAATTGAGGAATGAATGCATACAGATATTTCTAAATACAGGCACAAGTCAGGTCGAATATCAGAGCTTAAGATTTTGCGAGTTGTGTCAACGTATATTTTTACGTTTCACTTTTGTTTGGTGATATAGACCTCACAAGCAGAACTGTTAGGACATTATAAACTACACAAAGAAATTAAATTGTAATGAAATATGTAATTAGCTTACATTACTTTCAGGGCAAGAAACGCTACAATAACCGCTCGTACTGGTCGTAAACTGTATGTAGTGTTCATCTTGAGGCCGAACATTGGGCATGTTAGCCGGCACAGTGGGCCGTGGAAGCTGCAATACATGTAGTCACCATTCATTTAAACGGTATAACAATTTCCGTGACCATGGGTGGATAAGAAAGAATTCGGTTCAAATGCAAGTATATTGCGATCCCGATTAGACCTAAGTTACACACAACCCTTTAAAATAGAAGACCTGCATCATGACTTCTCTTGCAATGTCACATTTTGAAACAATATTGGTAGAGGAATCATGATCATCTACTTCTTTATATTGTTTTGGTATACCGATACCAATGCTGATTAATATATTACGTTTTTTTTAATTCAACCACAATGTGTTTATAAATGCTTAGTTTGTATTTATATCAAAATATTGTGGAAACCAAACATTTTGATCGGTAAAATGAACGAGAAGGGACAGTAGCCAGTTTTTAACAAGGTGGATTCAAATTATATAGTTTGTGAATCTCTTCATAATTGTGAATAATTGCATGAATTTGAAAAGCGTATTTGACAAGTGGGGGATTCGATCAAGCCTCTGACAACTTCTAAAAAGGTAATCTTGTTACCTATTTATTTTTTCAGAAAAAAACATGATTGCAAAACTTACTGTTATCTTCTGCTTGGTCTTTCCAATGGATTTTCGTATATATCTAAACATAACAAATAGAATAATTAATATACAAAAACCGGTAAAATGGGACAAAGTGCGTTGTAAAGGTGAACATCAAAGCATAATCCGATTCAGTATGAGAATAACAAATAAATTATTCGTTTATATAGTACAATAAGTTCGTATTTTTAATAAATCCCGTGGGTAAAGATTCCATGAAAACATGTTGTCGTTTTAGAAACATACACTAAATACAATTCATCTTCTTGATCGTGATATCAAGCGATCGATACGATCTACGAAAAAAGTGTATACCTTATTGTTGAATAAATTCCGAGGCATATTAGCAGGAACAAAATTATACTCCCGAGAACAATCAAAACTATGATACCAGTTGGCAATCTATATGGACCTATAAATGAGAAAGGAGAGTACTTATTAATATACAGGTACATATAGCAGCTATTTATCCTGGTAAACAGGGTGTCCTAAAGAAATCAAATCGACTTATTCGTATATCTATTTATACGACTCAGCACATATATTTAGAGAAATACCACTGTCACACTTTAATTTGGTCACACGTCGTCATTAAGAGCTCAAAGTTCATCATTGTCGGAATGTGTCGTGTACGCTCGAAATTTTATTTAAAGTACCATTTTCAAAGAGGTTCTAAAGAAAGGCCCTAGTAGACAAGGATTTTCAACATCTAAGTTTTAAAGTATAAGTCTTAAAAAACTAGAAATCGATCGTATTAAATACCCCAACTCACTTAAAACCACCCTCCGTATTTCTGCCGACTCGGGACTGCTCCCAGTGCTGCTAACAGCACGAAGTGTTACACTGTATTCTTCCCCACCAGCCAGCTCTTTTATAGTATAAGTGAATCCAGAGACAAAAGGAACAATTGCAACTGCAGAAAAACAAGCATGCAAATCAGCGGTAAGACTTATCGGGAGTTATCATACCTAATCGGGGTCATTTTAAAAACTCCATAACATAGAACATTAAATAGCATATATGTGTTGGACAAAATAGATAAGGCATGTTTTCCATATTTCGGATTATAAAGAAATACAATTATAGTACTCTAAGACACGTTTAATGAAATTACTGAAATAAGCATATTGTACATATTGTATTGTTATCTAACACGGGGGTAAAGCCACGATGATACCATGAGCACATGCTTTTAGGATTCTCGTTCTTTGAACCTACCGCCAAGCTCACTTATACATCAAGACCCGTTACACAGTCATGATACCACCGAGCAAGCTCATTGCATCATCGGGTCTGCTTTACCCCCGTGTCTAAGGTAACATGTTTTAGTATGTTTTGGAAACACGTTTCAATATATTTCTGTATTAAATGTACATTGTATTGTTACAATAACGATTTGAGAAGGTCGAATATAATCATTTTAAGTTAATGTTAAGAAATCGTCTGTACCTTTACATTCATCCCCTTGTCCCTGTTTACAGTATGTGACGTCATAGCTGACCACGACGCCCGAGTATTTGTCACATGCGTAATTATCCCAGCGCACTTGCAGACTTTCTGGCTCTTGTTTCTCGGTAAAATTAAAATTACTTGGTGCTGTTGTCGGTTCTGAAAAAAAATCGAACGAGTGTGCAAACGTGACTGACGAAGAAAGCATAAAAAGCCCGGTGTAAAAGGGTAGTAGGTCCTCTCAAATTATGGTCCTACTCTCCATTGATTTATATGGTGACCTAAATACAACCATAACCCTTTCCCTTATTATTTTATACACAATCGGGCCTAATAAGGGCCGTTTAGAAAGAGGACCATAATCCCCAGGGGACCATAATTTCTTTCACACCGGATTGTTGTATCTGGGCATATACTGTCTTGATCCTTATTGTTTGAATAACAAGTATAGTCATCAAAAAAATGTAAAGATTTGAATTAGATATCCACGACGTATAACGAAATAAACTCGATTATAAATGCGTGTTTAATATAAACTTTCTATCTGATTATCAGCATTATTTTCTTCAACATATTAAAATTGAGACACATATACCAAGTCCAATCACACCACACTTACTTATGTCAAGAGTTCGTAGACATTCCGCCCATTCTATTCCACTACTAGACGTTTCGTTTTCCACAGACAGACCGAACAACTGACTCCCGGGATTCAAGATGTTCTTGGTTGTGTAGTTTTTGACACTTTTAGGTATTTTAACAGAATAAAGTTCTCCCTGAAAATAAAAATTTATGTTTAGTAGTAATTTAAACAACAGTCGCACTGTCTGATATTGAATGTTTTGTTGCCAAAAAGAGTGCTAATATGGCCATTTTGTAATTATCGAGAGCTTTCCCCAAAACACGTCACATCCTTATCTTGTAACCCTTTGCTACTGTGAAACATTCAACCGTAACAGTCGAGTAAATAAATGGACGGAGATCTCAATGCTCTCTCAATAAATGTTCATTTTGTCGCCCGCAAACTATCATAAGTACAATATTTAGCACCTTTTTAATGTACGTGTGAATGTAAAGTTTATCACTTAGAAATGAGCCATGCTCAGACGTACCATGCAGGATGATGCTGATTGCCTCGCGCACCAGAAGACTGTATGAGAAAAGTTTTCGCTTTCATTGAACCATTTGAAAATGACAGTTCCATTGTTCTCCGACACTATCCAAGGTGGGTGGGGTGGACCTAGAAAAACAAAATATCACCTGAGACCACTAACAATCGATTAACCATAATGGCCGTGATTAGCAAATTAGATAACTATCTAGTGCTTCGACGCTCCTGGTTACTTTCGAAATTAATTTATTTCGTCCAGTCTATATCAAAATTATAACCATAACATGTATACAGATGTTTAACCTGCATGTATATAAATGTAATATAGTCACTGGTATACACTTTAAATGTCGATGTTACTCTTTATAACACACTTATTTCAATAGTTTTTTGGAACACTCACGATTATTTCTCCCGTGTACGTCGATGTACGGAATGGGCAACGACATATTTACACAAGTTGTTTTGCTTCTAACATAATATCTACTGACGTCATCAGACTCTGTGTACTTAAACTTAGCAGATGTTTCAGTTTTGGTTATTGGTAATTCGAATTCTGGTTCCCCCTTCACGGCAAAGTACGTTACTACACCGTGTCGTGACCTTGGTAAAATAGGATGCCAAAAGATGTTTATGGTATCAGAGTCAATCCAGAAAGCTCCTCTCGGAATACTAGGAACATCTCCTGGAACTAAAATCAGAATTTAACGCAGCCGGATCCATTAAAAAAGTATTCAACACGGTTATGATACATGTAGCTTGTTTACTATGAGGCGTCCATCGCTGTCTAAAACCCATCAGTATACACATCTCAAGAATAAATCACAACGGTTATATCCGTTCAGATATCAAACTTAAGGCAACATAAACATCAAAAATGATCTTTAGAGTGAGGAATAATAACAGTGAGTAATCAAACAAATATCTCAGTCTCACTATCTCTATTTTCTACAAAATAAATATGTACTCTCACAACTCAGTTAAAATCTCCCATAGCACTCACAACTCAGTTAAAATCTCCCATAGCACTCACAACTCAGTTAAAATCTCCCATAGCACTCTACTTTTCGGAAATATTGCTTGTGAAATATGCAAAGGTATTCGCCCCAATGGAATGAAATAAATGTACATTTTGTATGGTGTTTATATTGATTTGTGGTATATAGTCTATAAAGGTAAAAATGATTAGTTATCAATACCATCTGCTGGGGTGGAAACATTGTTTGATGAGGCCCCACTTCGATATCCAGTCACGTTACCGTGATAGGTGGCTCTGACTGTAACCTCTATTGCGTATTTGGAAAATGGAACAAGATCGACGAGGTATATATCTTGTTTCAAAGTGGTCATCGTCTGTAAAATTACGAGTGGCATATTTAGTAAATTACATAGACATTGCGGGTTTCTTTCAGCTCATTGCAGTTTCTCGAGTCGATTGTTGCCTACATGTTAAAAATGTACATTATAATATACATTATAATAATAAAGTTCTAAATAACCTTACCATGTTGCATGTATCATCCCATTGTGAGCAATACTTGATTTCGTATTGCACATCCACACCCTCTGGAGCAGTCCTGTTCCACGAAAGATGTACACATGAACTGTTTACTACCCGTGCCTCGGAGTGCACCATCGCGGGTTTAACTGAAAACGTGCAACTTGCGTTTGCTCAACATGCAACGAGCAAAAATGACATTTTAGCAGAATATGCTATGTATGTTTGCATTACTATTCCTTATTCAAGTTGCCAATAAGCATGGCGTTTTATATTTTTCTGTCTTGAAAGGCAATGATGATATGATAAATAAACTAACGTTGATCTTAATGGGAATATAAGATACACAAAGAAGATTCATTTACATTTTACTCGTATATTTTAAACAGAAGATTATCGTATTTCACTTCATTGTTGATATTTATTTTCTAGTTAAATTTAGTTTAGATCCATATTTCCTGAGATCAAACTTTTGCGGCTTATAATACAATGTAGGAAATTTTAAGATGACACAGACCGTGCTTTTTACACATGCGGTTTATACATTCATCAAACTGGATAGGATAAGGCTTTAACATATATTAAAAATATCAAGGCAGAGTTTGGCCAAAAGAAATACATATTGTAATTAAATCTAAGATGGTAAAATGTATTTTTATGCCCCAATACAATGCCTAGCATATGTGTCACCCTGTAATATTGTATGATGCCTAAGATTATGAAAATGACCTCAATCTGAATAAAGGGGTTTTGAAAAATATACTCCGATTTAAAAAAAAAGATGCCCAAGATGCACTCTATCAACCTCAATTGCCAATTCATGAATTTATACAAGTTACATGCAAAAACACGGCCATTGTGTTTGAACCGTTACAGTCTATTACTCAGTGTATGCAGGTCTCCCGAAATATATGCTGATTTCCCCACTTTGTCGAATGGGTTACTGATATTAACTTCCACGTGAAAATATGTAGCGCTCGTATTAATGGTGAATATACATCTATCCACGTCATCATCAGAAGGGTACCTTAGATTGACCACCTGACTGACGTCACACGACGGGCTGAAATATTATTTTTGGTTACAATTAAAAGTATATTTTGTACATTTACGTTTACACACACCAACCTTTTTGGTTGACGGTATGACCATTAATAGCACTGATAATGCCAAGAATGAACATAACAAAATTATTTACTTGACTTATTACCTTTCAATTGTATATTAAGAGACTGTATTGATAAGAGGCTCAAATGTCAATACCACAAATATTTAACACTAATCTTTTCTTAAAAATGAAAATTGAAACTTTTTGAATGAATTTTTTAGAGTGTTAGTTTACCTACCATGTTTTCAATGACGCTTTTATATCCATGAACACCGCTTTACTCTTAAAAGAAGATGGCTGCCAGTTACATTCAAGGTTTGCCCAGTTGATCCATTGACACTCGATACTATGTGGCTGAGGTGGCAAACCTGGGAAAATTAGAAATAAATCTGGCTGAATATTTTTGAGGAGTAAGCATAAAGATCCCTTAAAACAGATTATAGCGTTCATTTAATATTAAAAAGTATATCTTTAATGTAAAACAAAATATTAAATAAGATATTATTCTCATGCAGTTTAGTTTCGAAATATTGTAACATTGTATCGAACTGGAAATTATGAAAGTATTTAATATCTTAGTACTATTCAAAAACAGAGATGGAAAGATTTTTTATCGTCAACGAATAATCATGCTTAAATATACAGACACCTGAACAAGGACATACAAAAGCAATTCAAATACTTTAAGGTTAATTGAGAGAAGATTTGAATTGAAGTAATGATAAAATACTTACGTCCAACAACGGTCAAACTCTTTACTAACTCTGTCATTTTTTCACCTTCTTTTATCATACAAAAATGATGGCAACGTCCATACTCTGGGTCGATTAAGTCAAAATGTGGCATGTCGGGAACTATTAGCTGTGCTGTTGTGTTTGAGAGAACCCTTGTGAATTTTTCTGGATATGTTTGCTTTGGTAAACTCCCCGATTGATACTGAAAACAAACGTCATTCAATCTCACGTTACAATATTCAACTTCATGATGCAATACTCAACTCCATGTTATAAAATTCACTCTAATGTTACATTTTCACTGTCATGTTAAAATATCCACTGATCGATACGTAACGAAAGTCATGCTATTTACGTCATATTACATGTTTCACTGTAAAGTAACAACATTCACTGACATGTTGTAAAACACGAAACATGAAGCATTATACAGGGTGACCGGAAAAAAGGAGACCATTGAAGTAATCAATTTCTCCTAAACTAGACAAGTGCCATCAATAAAATTTTGCATACACTGGAACAGTTATATGGAAATTTGTTACTGAAGGTTTCAATACAAGCATTCAACTGGTTCAGGAGCTATGATCATTTACAAAACATGCTCCAAATAGGCACAATTGAGACCAACGCAGAGTTGGATTCATATGGCAAACTACCCTTACATGTTCTGCCCTCTATGGCATTATTATGGCATTACATATAGCAGTGATTGCCTTCTTTAGGTCAACAATAGTCTGAGGATTGTTTTGGTATAGATTGTCTTTCAAATATCCATACAAAAAGAAATCAGCAGGATTCAAGTCTAGGCTGTAATGGCAATGAAGGGTTATCTGACATGTGGTTCATCATCCTGTTGCCAAAGTGCTGATTTACCCAATCTTAAGAGTCACTTTAGGTATTGGGCATAGTGCCATGTTACTAAAACCACTATATGGCACAATTAAATCCCATATGGAAACCAAGGGCTGCCCAAAACCTCCTTAGGATGATACTGTAACTGAGTGGGACCACTGAGTCAGAAGCCATAGGTCAGATAAGCTTCGTCTCCATACAACTCAAATTTGAATCCACCTGATTTCTTTTTGTGGGGCAATTTGAAAGACAATGTGTACCAAAACAATCCTGAGACAATTGCTGACCTAAAGGTGGCAATAAATGCTAAATGTAATGCCATAACAAGGTCGGAATATGTAAGGGTATTTGCCAAATGTATCCAGCTCTGCGTTGGTCTCAATTGCGCCTATTTGGAGCATGTTATGTAAATGATCATAGCTCCTGAACCAGTTGACTGCTTGTATTGACACTTTCAGGAACAAATTTCCATAGAACTGTCCTGATGTATGCAAAATTTCATTGATGTCACTAGTCTATTTTAGGAGATATTGCCTATTTCAATGGTCTCCTTTTTTCCGGTCACCCTGTACTATGCATCGAAATAAAAATAGGCAGCATAGTATTCAATAGACAGGAGTAATAATGATTCACGTTGACACCAACGTAAAATTGTAAAACTCTCGTTCCAAACACGTTTTAAGAGAACATGTAAGTTAGCGTAATATTCTTCGACCCCAGGGATTACTATTCCCCTCTCAATTCACTTTCCAGTACCTAATAACAATAGTTTTCTGTCTACCTTTATACTCAATCGACCAAGTAAACATTACAAATGGGAGTAATGATCCACAGATTTATCCATAATTATACTCGTCCACGTACATGTTAAAAAATCGTGTATCTAAACCTCCTTAATACATAAATTATTTTACGAATCGATTCGTGCCTCTATGTCTTATTCGAAAAAATGGCTATTAATCACTTGCTGTTCTATTTTTATATGATTCTAGTTAAAATTTTCCAAATAAGATTTAAAAGATTTAATATTGTAAATGAGTAAATGAACTGAAACATAACACGACTAAGGCTTAGGTAACTGTACCATCACAAACTCAAATCACACAATTGCGTAAGATTAATTAAGGCGTATTCTAAAGGTCATTGATCTAAAGGTAATCACGCAGTTACGTAATTGTAATTGTAATTGTAAAATTTATTGTAGTGTCTTGGGTAAAATTATACATAAAATATCAATTAAAACGAGCCCTGGGCCGACATCAACCTATAGGACACCTGTCTAATCTATATAGAACCCACTCCCTTACGTACCTGAAAAAATATGTGAGATGCGTTACTTTTGCCGGTATAGAGATCATTGATCTCACATGTTAGGTTGAAAGTGCCACCATAAACTGCACATGAACTTTGACCCCCTATATCCTGGCAAAATGGTAGCTCCCTGTAGATATCTGGAAATATTTTGACAGAATATTTTTACAATATTTTAACATACAGGGTGACTCAAAAAATGCCATCCACTAATATTGGAATAACTTTCCCGATTATCAAGGAAACTTGATGCTTTTTTTGTAAAAATAGTTTTCATTAAATGTTGTTTACATGTCAATCTTTATTTAGAAGACTTTTTGGGCGAATCATTTTTTATTGAAGATGTTTCATTTTATCATGACAGACACCAAAGATTTCTTGTCACGAGCTAAGTTCAACGAAAAGCCCTCGTTTTAAACCTTGTGATTCACCCAGGTAATCTAGATATTGACCTACATGAACGTATTTCATTTTCAAGATTTCAAGATAAGAGTTCATGGTTGTTTTCTCGAGAACTATCGATTAACCACAAATCGGGTTAACTTTGACCTTATACAGGCTTTTAATAGTTTCCCCATATCTCTATAACTATTAGATTCAAAGGTCTATGTGTAGTATGGGAAGTGATTTTAGACAGTCATATCTTTCACCATGAATACTTTCTGGCCATAAAAACAATGTTTTTTTATTAAAACAATGTGTTTTCTTTCAAGTGAAGTCCCCATGATAGTAAAATATCAATCCAACTCTCTGTTAATTATGGATTAGGGCACCACCCTGGCACTTTTTAAAAGATTTAAGCTTATTTTCTAAAAAGAGGAACTTGCTTTTCTCAATTTAAACATATCAAAAGTTTCTTCTACACAATATGAACAATTTCTGAAAAGGGGATGCGTATTGAAATGCGTTAAAGTTAAAAACCAAATACCCCATGTTATTTTCCCATGGGGAAACTCGTACTATCCATTGTTTTCAACATCATTTTGGTCATCAAAAATTGATACCTTCAAAACTAGAATTTCAATACAATTACATTTTTTGAAGATATTTTAAATCCCTTGTTAAATAATCTTTTCATGCAATTAAATTTAGAAAAGGGATCCTCTTTTGAGTAAATAGGTTCAATACTTCGAAAAAATGTTGACATGGGGTCCCTATTCATAATTTTTCGAATTGCTCGATTGATATTTTTATCATCATGGGTATTTCTCTTGAAAAAAACATATAGTTTTAATAAAAAACACTATATTTATGCCCAAAACGTATTCATGGTGAAAGATATGACCGTCTAAAATCACTTGCCATTCTGCACGTGGTATTTTCTTATCTCGATTTAAATTGCAATTTCTAACGCGACTATTGTGTTTGCCATACATACTTCCCATATACTTTGGAACCCAAGGTTGGCCACTGACAAGGATCCTATGCGACGCGATATACACCAGCATGAACGCAAACCAAAGCCTGGGCATCACCATTATGAAGTCCAATGTCATTCCGGCTTGATGGTGGCCTTACGTATAACAAAAGCTGAAAAATGAATTCATTTTAAAATTACGATATTGTTCTTTAGTTTAGCAACACTCGTATTCACTATTTTCGTTTTTGTACAATGCCCTTACCTTGTCACTGCTAACCTGTCGTTGCTTTAAAGCTGTTTAAGAACACGTCTTCTTATATTTATAGAGATTTAATTAGAACTCAATGACTCAGTTTGAATTTACATGAAACATTGCCTTTTTAATTGTGTTCATGAAACTCAAAAAGCAATTTGTAATTGTTATCAAATCCAAAATTTCAAGAATCGAAATTGTTCTTTCAAGTTAAGCTTTTTCAGTAACCTTTTCTTTATTTGCTCCAGCCTAAATATTTATATTCCGGGCAAGAAATTATTACATGCCACTTAGAAATTCAAGTTATGTTACTGTTGCTCCCAATGTGAGTTCTCACCTGATAATAATATGTTCTACTTGTAAGAAATCATTCGAATATATAGATCATATGTATCAAGTGGACTAAAATGCAAATACGGAAAAAAACACAAATTGGCATTTGACTTTCCTCCACATGTTTTCAGGTGCCGCCAAAATAAAATGATGAATGGGTGCATCTAACAATAAAGCACTCAAATTGCAATGGGCTAGCTTTGTTCCTTTTTTGGTAATCCTACCAGTTTTCCTGATAATATCTTATGTATTGCACCTTCTTTGTTTAAATCATAATCCTTTAACAAATATTTTGCAATTTAAACACTTAATGTTTAGTGCATAGTGTAAGGAAGTAGATTTCCTTTCCTTGGACATTTCCTTATGGATCCGGTAACTGACACATACAGCTAGACATCCATTTATTTGTCGCGATCATTTTCTTGGTATGAACGTGTTTATTGTATTGAATTAATGGTACTGACAACGTTCAAAATCTGTATAAGTATTTAAACATGCTGCCTAGACGACAAATACTAAAAGATGGCTAACACAGGTATAGTCAAAGGGACTTAAAATCGCCCAAAAACGTTATATATTTCTTAAGTGTGCGTTAATTATTTTCAAATGTTAGATTACACTCTAAATACACCTGCTATTCACAAAATGTTTAGTAACTCTACTTACCCCTGAAATAAAGATATTTTCTTAGTAAAATATGTAATTTAACGGAATGAGAATTATGTTTTTAAAAAAAAGGGTGAAATTAAAGCACAAAGGATCCATGTTGCACTGTTTTGAGTGGCATTGTTTGGGCGAAGTACCTAGAATGAGTCCACGTACTGAAAACGTACCACTCTGAAGCCAAGATATGTTTACCATGATCGAACGTCAGACTAAAGCACCGATTGCTTTATTTGTTTAATTTTATTGGATACTTCTTAGAACACTTCTACCAAACGCTTTGCCTAGGTATAGAACAATCAATTACCGTTATAAACAGGTTTTGTGAGATTTGTATAACATTTGAAGAGAATAATAAATACCAACTGGTGACTGGCAATACGACATGTTATTATAAGATCATAACAATTTGGACTCGGGTTATAAACACTTTTAAAATATGTTATGGCGCTATGGCCTTTTATTGGAGACATTCCATTTAAAGCTTTGAAAGGACTTTTGTTATTAAATTAGATATGTCAGGACCTTTAGAAAAAATAGTAAGACACCCACGTTATAGGGATAGATGTGTAACATTACAATTTATTCTTAATAACTCAATTTTACAAAGTACAAATAATAGGGTTAACACTAACAGGTAACATCATTTCGGATGGTTATGTTATGCCCTGGTCACATTTGCTCCGATTTTCTCTATGGCGCCCGGCCGATTGAGTATTTCGTTTAAAATTGAATACAATAGTGAGCAAAATACTCAATCGGGCGGGCGTCGGCCGATGGATCAGAGCAAATGTGACCCAGGCATTAGTAGTTACGAATATTAAGAACAGGGGCAAAGAATCATCAACATGTCAAGTAGGCGAGTAGAGATAAAACGTAAAGAGTAAAGATTGCAGTGCCAAAGGAATTTAATCTAGTCGCTCTATTAAACATACAGTTCATGAAAATCTAGTTGAAGCGACGATTATGTCCATCATTTGTGACAACGGTATCTGACTTAACCGTTGTCAGGCTATCCCGGTGTGAGTACATGCTTATGGTAACGACAGTAAATAAAGAAAAAAACATGAATAAGAAGCTAGAATATTTTCTTATGTTTAGATATAGAGTTCTGAAGGAGTGGAGATTAGATTTCTCAACTCAGCTTGTTTCGAAAAATTGTTTTCAAAATCAAAACCTGTTACTACACCAGGAACAGTGTCATCAAATAATACAGGGTTAAAGATGTCTTCTAAACGCCAAAGGAATTTAATCCAGTCGCTCTATTAAACATACAGTTCATGAAAATCTAGTTGAAGCGACGATTATGTCCACCATTTGTGACAACGGTATCTGACATTACTTCTAAATAAAAATATTATCAAGGAGGTTTGCCCGAGTGAGAAGATTTAAATGATCACATGCGCCTTTTCAAGTTACGAATGTCGTATAATCACCTTTATCTCATGGTTAGTAAATCTCATGGAGACGGGCGATATCAACTCACTCATGGATAAAAATTATATTCCTCAAAAATCAAAGGATACCCTTTTATGATGTTGCGTCTCGGTTAATACAGCTACTAGTTACCCTGATAATGAAATAATGTAGGGGAAGAGATATGAAAAGTCGATGAAGGTCAGTCAGTTAAATGCGAAAACAAGTTAACAATGAACTTGACCTTAACGAATCATAAAAGTGAATATTCTAAGTAATAAAACACACGTGCCTATTAGTACTTGGCTATATGTTAGGAATTCTAAGATATGTAAACGTGAATAGCATGATAAAAACTTACCAGATTTAGTATAATCCATATAATTCAGCGCAAAAACACGCATATGTGTATAATAATGTGTATGTGTAAGTCTGTGTCAGGTTAAGCTTGGTATACTCTAAGATAAATAAAAGTGTACGTATAACTGTTCATATCGTTTTTATAGATTGTCAACAGTTGTATAGTGTATTGTGTTTATTTACAGTAAAAGTTCATTTATCGACTTGCGTTGTTAAAAAAGTTGAAAAACACTCCAATTTACTAAAGGTCATCATGTTCTGTATCTGTATTATTCAAAGCATGTCTACCTTTCCTTGTCTTCACCTTACAAAGAACGATCATTTTGGTCTGAACAGTAAAATACTTCAAGGGTTTGAGCACCAGGTTTAGTTAATTGTTAATCCGAGGTACTTACAAACACTTGCAAATATCAAAGCGTATTAATCAGATGCGATTTCTTAATTCTACTTCCTGGTTCGATATCTTTCAAATGAAAAACTAATAGAAAATGAAAGAAATAATACAAATTGCAGCTTTAATAATAACAAACACTAATTAAATGATAGTATGTAATATTCTTAACAAGGTATATGCAAACGGGTTGCGAGCATTCTGATATACAACGCATCTAAAAACATGTCTGTGTTTAGTTCGATCTATAAATCCAGACGAAAAGGCCATCACGTGGTATTTCATGATGGGTTACGAGTGTAACAACCAATCTTAACCAGGCCTTTCTTATTTGTGTACTCATGTTTCGTGTTACATTTCTCCATTTAAAGTCTGGCAAACGTAGGCCCCTTCTGGGTCGCGTGTAAAAGCATATTAAGTAAGAATACTATTTCAAGGAACTATCTTCTTAACAAAGTATATGCAAAGGTGTTACATGTGTAACAAGCGATCTTGACCAGGCCTTTCTTATATGTGTGCTCGTGTTTCGTGTTACATTTCTCCATTTAAAGTCTGGCAAACGTAGGCCCCTTCTGGGTCGCGTGTAAAAGCATATTAAGTAAGAATACTATTTCAAGGAACTATCTTCTTAACAAAGTATATGCAAAGGTGTTACATGTGTAACAAGCGATCTTGACCAGGCCTTTCTTATATGTGTGCTCGTGTTTCGTGTTACATTTCTCCATTTAAAGTCTGGCAAACGTAGGCCCCTTCTGGGTCGCGTGTAAAAGCATATTAAGTAAGAATACGATTTCAAGGAACTATATTCTTAACAAAGTATATGCAAAGAGATTACATGTGTAGCAAGCGATCAGGCCTTTATTATATGTGTGCTCGTGTTTCGTGTTACATTTCTCCATTTAAAGTCTGGCAAACGTAGGCCCCTTCTCTGGGTCGCGTGTAAAAGCATATTAAGTAAGAATACTATTTCAAGGAACTATCTTCTTAACAAAGTAAATGCAAAGGGGTTACATGTGTAACAAGCGATCTTGACCAGGCCTTTCTTATATGTGTGCTCGTGTTTCGTGTTACATTTCTCCATTTAAAGTCTGGCAAACGTAGGCCCCTTCTGGGTCGCATGTAAAATCATATTAAGTAAGAATACTATTTCAAGGAACTATTTTCTTAACAAAGTATATGCAAAGGGGTTACATGTGTAACAAGCGATCTTGACCAGGCCTTTCTTATACGTGTGCTCGTGTTTCGTGTTACATTTCTCCATTTAAAGTCTGGCAAACGTAGGCCCCTTCTGGGTTGCATGTAAAAGCATATTAATTAAGAATACGATTTCAAGGAACTAAACTCTTAACAAAGTATATGCAAAGGGGTTACATGTGTAACAAGTGATCTTGACCAGGCCTTCTTATATGTGTGCTCGAGTTTCATGTTACACTCCTCCATATACATGTACAGTGATTTTAATCAAGTGAAGTCCCAATGATAGTAAAATATCAATCCAATTCTCTAAAAAAATATTGATTATATATATGACCTCACGTTTGCACTTTTTCAAAAAAATTGCTTATTTTCTTAAGAGAGGATATTGTTTTTCTCAATTCAAACATACCAAAAGTTTCTTCTAAACTATATGAGGCCTAACAATTTCTGAAAAGGGGATCGGTATTAAAATGCCCTGAAGTGAAAACCCACATATCCCATGTTATTTCCCATTAGGGAAAACTCATGCTATCCATTGTTTTCAGCATTATTTAGGTTACGGGCATAAATATCTTCAAAACTAGACTTTCAATACCATTTTACTTTTGAAGAAGTTTTAGACTCCTTGATGAATATTCTTTTCATGCAATAAAAATCAGAAAAAGTATCCTATTCTGAGTAAATAAGATCAACATTTTGAAAAGATTGTTGACAGGGGGGTCCCTATTCATGATTTTCGAATTGTTCGATTATGGGGACTTCACTTGAAATAAGACATATTATTTTCATAAAAAAACAGTGTACTTATTGCCAGAAAGCACTCATGGCGAAAGATATAAACGTCTAAAATCATTTGCCATACCTCACATTGACCTTTCTAAAGATTCAGTTACATGACTGTATTTGTTCATACAAAACTATTGTAAATCCATTTGCTTTTAATTCTCTTTAAATTGTCTCCCATATTGTACAATATACCTGTAGTTTAAGGCAGGTGTATACTAAACGACCTTGAAATATATGATTGATGAGCCATTTCGACTAATAGTACTTGAGAGTTTTTATAGTGTCACGTTTTATATTAATTTATGATTGTGCAAATAGGGAATAAATGAACAGATTAAACAAAACATTGGCACATTGGAACTCCAAATGGCGACTACACTCGAGTCAAGGGAAACTAGGAAATACAAAATATTGCAAACGATGGTATTTTATAGAAATACATGTATGCTCACTTACAAAGTTTGAAACCCCAATTTTAACTTCTTCTGTAACTGAAGGTCTATGAAACGTTAATGAATTACTTGATATGCGGCAAACAATCAAGTTTTGACACATGGTTTATTGGGCATACTTCATTAGGGTGTAATTGGAAAAGGTTTGAAGAGGAGTGCTATTCTTAAAAGAGTCGTGAAATTTTTTTTTCAGTTATTAAAAACTGAGATTTCAAATAGAATGTACACATTTACAATAATACAATAATATCACACACAACTATCAAAAACATAGTGTTTTGTTCAAATTAGGACCAAAGTTGAAACTGTTAATTAAAACGTTCGCATGTTATGACAAAACTATTCATGTACAGGGCGTTCAGTAAGTAAAGCTAATTTTGCTCTCAAACTTTTATTTCTTGTCTATCATCGTTCAAATTTTCAGTGGGGAAGCATCAGACACTTTTCTAACTATCCTGAAAAAATGATCAAGATATAATGAGTAACAGCAAAATGGTGGTTGATATAGTAACGCGAATACGGGTTCTGCGGAGCAATTTTATAAGTTCAAAGCATAGTAGATTTTGTTAACGTTAGTTTCTGTCCTGTCTATATTTCAACCATAGTTCTGTGGCTACTCCACATTTCTACTTTCAAGTTAGCATTCTATTTCATGTTCAAAGTAGTTCCCCTTAGCTTTCACACACAGCTGATGTCGTTCTATCCACTTCTGATATATCCTGTGGAAGCCATCTGGAAAGTTCTTTGTCAGCAAACGTTGAACGGCATTCTGAAGCTCATGGATATTTGCGTGGATCTTACCACGCAGATCATTTTTCAAACATGAAAATACCCCAAAATCGCACGGTGCCTTGTCAGGAGAATATGCTGACTGGCCTTGAACCTCCATCTCACTAATGGTATCCTGGTTGGATTTCCCTAGCAACACATTGAATCTGATGCTACTTCTCAATTGTTGTTTCATTTCATTGTTCATTTTGCTTCCATTGGCAATCCTGGCAGCCATGATTTTGATGATGTCATGGAGCAGTGTCTGATGGATCATTCTGGATCATTCCATCTGTTGTATCATCCGTCTGTGATGTCATAGACTACTGTTGCCATGGTATCATATTTGTGTATGTTGTTGTTATGTTTGTCGTGACTTTCAGCCATAGTAAACAAAGACATATGCAGCATTAATCTTAATCAATTTCATTGCATTATAACATTTTTATTAAAGTAAGAAATTGCTCCGCAGAACCCGTATTCACGTTACTATGACAACCATTGTTTTGCTATTATTCATCATATCTTATTTAATTTTTCAGGGTAGTTAGAAAAATGTCAAATGCTTCTTCACTGAAAATTTGAAAGATAAATGACAAAAAATAAAAGTTTGAGAGCAAAATTAGCTTTACTTACTGAACGCCCTGTATTACTATAAATTATACACATTCAGAAGATTACTACTCTTTGGATAATGAAATATAGCACCTTTGCTTACAGTAACACAAACGAAAATCGAATACCAAAAAGAAAGAAAAATGTATACTTACTTCAGCTTAGGTGTGCTCTTTAAGAGAAATTGTACCGCTTGTAAATAGGAATATGCAATACGTTAAAACATCAACCTTTTTGCCTGATAACTTGACTTATCTAAATGGGTTCTAAGAAAAACTTATTGGTAATATTCATTGAATCAATAAATAACTTTTTGAAGACTAATTACCACAAAACACTTACTTAGAGGTTAAAATAATATGTTTGCAGTTCACAGAAATGAAAAGACTAACAAGGCAACAAATTGTCAAAATGTCAACTTCTTGTAATTAGATCTGTTGTAAATGGTATACAAATATAGATTATTTTATATCCAAAGAACATGTATACGTTTTTATAGATCTAGATTTTATTACATAAAATGTAACATATTACAATTTAACCTTTTTGGCATGGGGAGACGGCTATCTATCGATCAGAGCTTGCGTAATTGTATACCAAAGAAACGATTACGTAATCATGAGATAATGTTACGTAATGACAGCCCAAAATCATGATTATGCAACCTTATATAATCATTAATCTTTGGGATAAGAGAGAGTCCATAGGGGACCAAGTGCTGAGATAGATAGCCGCCTCCGAAATCCGGGCCACCCGATATCCCCTATTAATGGGTCGAAGGGGTGGGGGCGGGCAAGCGTCCGACTTCCTCAAGATGCGAAGCTAAAACTGTGTAAACCAAACTACTACAGGACAGGTGGTATAGCATTAAGATAAGTTATTGTGCCGGCCTAATTGGATCTGTCAACAGACTTTTAATTGGGCTGGTAGG